ACAAACAAAATAAAAAAAAAAAATATATATATATATAATATACTCGTGAAAATCAAGAAAAAATGAAAACGATCTGTATGTTTTTCTGCGGTAAGTACATAAAAATATTTCTCTTCGCACAGATTCGTAGACGCGAAAGCTCGTATAATTGGAAATAAATTTGATTCGGGGACACGTAGCGCGAAACACGATGAAATGATAATTGAATAAAATAAAAGTACCTTTCCTCTTATAAGCGAGACAGGAATAAATCGAGTGTACACCAAGTAGAGAAACTACATAATTCGTCTTTGGGTGCGAGTAGGCGATCGGCCGGCCGGAATAGTGGGGTTGATAGATGCGGCCCTGGCGGTCAGAAAAATTACGTGACAAACTTTGCATTTACACGGATACACACGGAGCGCCTCTTCTCTCTCGGTCAGGGGAATCGCTTCGAAATATTAACCGTAATATCTCAACGATCGTAACGAGGATTCCGCGAAATTCGTGCTCGAAAGAAAGCTCGCGATGCGTATTAACTACCGAGAGAAGAAATTCGGGGGTGAACAGGCGAGAAGTATCGAAAATCACGCGACGAATCGTCGCGAAAAAATCGCCACGAATAAACAAAAGGTCGGACCCGATTCGAGATTTCCGAGGTTTAGCAGGGCCACGGCCGTGCGTTGTCGGGCGGATTTCGGGATCGAGGATTCGGTTCGCCGCGTGTACTCACCTCTCGGCCAAAAAATTACCGTCGGGGAGCACAGTACTTGCGGGAAAACGCGGAAAACAATTCCGTGAAAAACACACAGTCCCGTTGCAGGGTGTCTGTCTCTTATACGCTGTCCCACTGTTTTCAGGCTACCGCCACCTGACGGTGGAACACGCGACCTCTCCCAGGTCCATGGTTCGTTCGCGATAATTCCTCTTGCGCTATTTCACCGAGAATCTCACCCCTTCCGAGGTCTCGGGGCTCGGTGTTCGCGGCACAAACGACTTCCAGGAGGCTCGCGCTTGCTCACCGGGCTGAAAACGGTCCGGCCGAGCCTCGTCTGATCGCAACGATCCTCCAGCGAAATTCCGAGCAACGCGGCACTTGCCACTCTCTATAGAATATTCGTGATAACTGGAACCCCGTTAGTTGTTCGGTCGGATTTCACGTTACTCAGAATCGTTCGGTGACACGTTCGTCTATCGGGCAAGCGAGCGACTGCGACCGACTTTCCCGCGAGACGATGAAAATGCTGGAAATACAAGCGAGTCGCGTGGAAATGCTCGATCTGGCACGAGAACGAGAAGGAAGACGCGCCCGTGCGCACCAATGGCGGCCACCGACCCTTATTTACCGAAGTCAAAATGGCCGCCCTTCGACTTCTCACGCGTTCCGAACTTTCCGCGATTATTCTGCGCTCCGGTTGCCGGCATCGATTGTCGGACAACGTTTCGCCGGCCCCGATCCAGGTAACGTTATCGCTCTCCGTGCTTTTCCACGGCTTGTCCTTTCGTCTTTCATCGTTTCTCCTCGGCGAACAAACTCTCTCGCGTTTTCATAATGGAGACCTTCGCGACGAACCGACGAAGGGCCACGTCAGACACTGTCTCGCGTCGAACTTTCAAGTCGTTCGCTTTTATCCTTAATGATACATCGGTCCTCGCCGGGTCGCCCCGTTTTCCTTTTCAAAGCGAAATCGTGTTAACGTCAGTCGAATTTTCAACAAATGAATTTTAGAAAGTGAATCGTTCAACTTCGAAATGCAACATAAGATGTACGCCACCGTTATTTTAACGTTTGCTCGAGAAAATGTTCACACTGTTTTCAACATTTTCTTCTTTTCCTTTTTCGTTTTCTTTCTTTGTAGCGTGAAATTCCTCGAGATAGTTTCTGTATCGAGTTCGCTAACCTATAAAGTGCCTGCAAATCAAGTAGCAAAAATATCTCTGTGCGACGCGGTGTAACGGTTGCAGAAATTTACATAATAATTATCCAAGAATAATCAATATATTTTTCCTCTTTTCACCAGATTCAGAAAAGATGGGGGACATACAAGTCTTCTCCCGAGTATGACGAAAACTTGAAATATGCAGATTACGAGGTAACAAGAGATCCAGAAGAATGGAAATACGTAAAACGCTTACTCAAACCTAAGCTCATACCTGAACCCAAGTTTGAAAATAAAAGTTATCCATCCGGTTGGAAACCGCCTACCTGTAAGTCGTACATGTTGTTGTACAAAATGTAATAATAACAAAATTACTTTCTTATTTTACTATTATTTATTAATTGAAATTTAACAGCAAAACCAGGAGATCATCCGTATTATGTACAGCGTACAAAAAATTATATGTTGCCCGTTTATCTCGAAATATCGTTTAGAGGATTGCGAAGGATAACTACTATCAAAAAGATTCAAGGCGATATATGGACTTTAGAAGCTGAATTAAAACAATACCTAGAAACCGCTACAAACAAAATAATCGGTATCCGTATAAATGAACTTACTGGTGAAATCAAATTGAGAGGCGATTATGTATCCCTTGTAAAAGAATGGATGCATTCCAAAGGATTCTAAAACGCTTAACAATCTGTCTTGTCAATTTAGATTAAGCGATCGATACTTGTACAAGTGAGATGCATAATGTTATTGTATTATTTGTCACAAAGAAAAATAAAACACTAAGAAAATACGTAATTTATGTTATTAAAGTAATAACACAGTATTTAAGCGGTAATACAGAGTTTACGAATGTACAAACTTTATTCGAATAGTTAAGTATTCAACAGCTTTAGTTTTGTAAAAATATGCATTATATTTAGAATTGAACTTCACACAGGGTAGTATAGAGAATGAACTTTAGTGTCGTGTGGCGGGTTAGTAATTTCGTATATCTTAATATTTAATTACAAATTAATGTGTCCTTTTCTTTAATCAAACAACCATCAACAAATGCATAAAGATTCTTAAATCTATTGAATCAATTCTATTTTTATAATTACGATATACTTTTAAACAATTCATAAATTAAATAATTTAACACACACACACAATGATGTATATATACATATATATTTATATTTATGATTTGATGTGTAT